AGAAAGTTTCAATTTTAGGGTGATGTTGTTTGGCACAATTAATGATTTTCCAGCATACGGAAATCTATCGGGGTATAACATTAAAGCTCAATGTGCGTGTCCTATATGTGAAGAAAACACAGATTGGACGCGATTGGAATTTGGTCAGAAGAATGTCTTTCTTGGTCATCGTAGATTCTTAAATTCTAGTCATCACTGTCGTGGGTGGAGAAAAGCATTTAATGGAAATTTAGAACAAGGTAGAGCTCTACCTACATTGACCGGTGAACAAATTTTTGAAAAGGTGAAAGATGTGAGTACTAAGTTTGGCAATCCTTTTGCTCATACGCTTGTCACGCGTGGGTGGAGAAGAGGTCAATTTTTTTTTAGTTTCCATATTGGAAGTCGTTGTATGTAAGACATTTTCTTGTTGTTATGCATATTGAAAAAAATGTATTTGAAAGTGTTATTGGTACGTTACTCAATATACAAGGAAAGTCTAAGGATGACCTTAAAGCAAGAAAGGACTTGGTAGCGATGGGAATAAGAAATGAATTAGGACCCTTGAAGAAAGGAAATCGAACATATCTACCACCTGCTGCTTATACTTTATCTAGAAAGGAGAAAAAGATATTTTGTAAGTTTCTAAGTGAAGTTAAAGTTCCAGAAGGATACTCTTCAGATATTAGAAGACTTGTTTCTATGAAAGACCTCAAGTTAAAGAGTTTAAAGACACATGATTGTCATGTTATAATGGAACACTTTCTACCAATAGGTATACATTCTATTTTGCCAAAAAAACGTGAGAAGCGCAATAACTAAATTGTGTTTTTTCTTCAGGTCAATTTGTAGTAAGGTGATTAATCCTGCAATCTTACCAACATTGCAAAAAGAAATAGTTATTACTTTGTGTGAGTTTGAAATGTATTTTCCTCCATCACTTTTTGACATAGTGGTACATCTAGTTGTTCATCTTGTGAAAGAGACACAATTGTGTGGACCAGCTTATATGAGATGGATGTACCCTGTTGAACGTTATATGAAAATATTGAAAGGGTATGTGAAAAACCGAAGTCGACCAGAGGGTTGTATTGTTGAAAGATACATTGTTGAAAAGCGATTGAGTTTTGTACTGAATATTTGTCCAATGTTCAATCCATTGGCCTCCCAAAATCTCATGTTGTTGAAAAAATAGTAGGAAAACAGTTAATAGGAAATAAAGTTGTGACAGTTTCAAGGGATGAACGGGAGCAAGTGCATTTGTATGTTCTGCACAATGACATTGAGGTTGAGCCGTATGTTGAAATGCACAAGGACGTTCTTTGAGGCTTAAATCTGAATAGAAATGAAAATTGGATAGTACGTGAGCACAATCGAAGTTTTATAACATGGTTCAAGGATCATATATTTTCAAAGTTTTATTCTGATCCCGCTTCAATAATAGAAAGGTTGAGATGTTTAGCATATGGTCCAAGTTTGCATGTGTTTTCTTATAGCGCATACGCAATTAATGGATACACATTTTATACCAAAGAACAAGATGATAAAGGTACAATGCAAAATAGTGGTGTCACTGTGCTTGCTGAAGCAATGCACATTTCAAGTGTGAAGGACTTAAACCCCAAATATGCAAATCTGTCGTATTTTGGGGTTATCGAGCGCATTTGGGTGTTTGATTATGAGAAGTTTCAGATTCCTATCTTTGGATGCAAGTGGGTTGAAAATAATAGTGGCATACGAATGGATAAGTCATGATTTTTGCAAGTGGATCTTAATAAGGTGGGGTACAAAGATGAGCCTTTTATTCTAGCCACGCAAGCTAAACAAGTGTTCTATGTCACTGATCCGACAAGTACGAAATGGTCTATAGTTCTTTTTTCTATCAAAGTAATCGATGATAACATTGGAGATCAGGGTGATGTTGATGTTGAGAAGGAATCTTATATTATAGATGATCAAGATGAGAATATTAGAGCGGACGAATCATATATTAAAAATGATCATAACGAGGGAATTTGGATTAATCCATCCGTTCGTGTTGTTAAGAGACAAGTAAACCACATTCAAACGAAGAAAAGAAAGAGATGTTAGTGACAAAGATACTTGTAAAATTACATATTATATCATTCAATAAAATTACATATTATGTCATTCAATAAAATTACATATTATGTCATTCAATAAAATTATATATATGTTTTTCTTATTTATATATTTCTTATTTATATGTTTTTCTTTTCATATATGTTTGTCATTCATTTCATAATTTGGTTTTTCTGAATTACAGGTATTATGGCTACCAACGAGGAAAAGTCACATGATACTTCTATACATGATACTTCTAAACATGATGGAAAAGTCACATGAAATTAATTTAACACAATTTTCTTAATTGACACATTAATCATATTCATTATTTGTTTAGGGCATTTCACCTTGTCGGCTATATTTATCATCGTCGACTTATCGCATGGTTGGCAAGGGAAAAATGCATAACACTTTGGGAGGCTTACTTCACCATAAACCGCTCCCTGCTGAATTTTTAAAAGTATCGGTTGATATTGCTTTAGAGGGGGGTACGTTGTTGCCTATACCAGATGATGTTTTGGATGCAACAGTGGTGGGAGACGCAATAGGATCGTATGTTGCATGGCCGTCAAATCTCATTTTCATAGATGATGAGGTAGGTTGAACACCATTATGAACCTTGTAGTATTTAAATGTTTTACGACCCATACATGAAAGTTATTCTTACATTTATGTATCATTTATTTACATGATGATCTTAGACTCCTACAAAATCCAAATCAAAAGATAAGGGAATTGTGCGGGAAACCGAGTCAGCTGCATCAAAAAAACAGGTACTACTACAATTATATGATGATTTTATACATTAATTACTTAACTTATAAGACTTTTAGGTTCATGCTCAACAGTTGCAACATGTCAACAAGGGTAAGATGCCTGAATCTAGCAATGTGCCTAACAAAAAAAAAGGTCGAGCCAAAAAAAACATATGTTCCTCGATTTAGGTTGTACCTTGAAACATATGTAGGAACAACAGATGTGGTTGAGGGTGGCATCCGTCAAATACCTATGAAGGAAGGTATTTTCGATTTTGAATATGCTGAAACAATTGCTAAAGAGAATTTGGACTAGATTTTCCAACATTCTGAATTGGGCATCGGTGTTATGCGTTCATACATTAGGTACTCCGATCAATTTTAATTAAATAATTGAACAATTTATTTGCTCATTTAAATGAATATTCTAATGTTGATTATGTTTTTATTTAAGGTTCTTGTATGGCAAGTTGTTGGTCCCGCATCAATTGACTTCAAGATTCGCATTCTTATCTGCTAGCTGTATCAACTCACGGTCAATCGATCACACTCCAGATGTAGTCAGAGATTACATAGTCCAAGCATTTATGGCCACAGATACAGAGAAGTTGTATTGTTTGTCATATAATACTGGCCATGAGTTAGATTTCATTCTAAATTCATTTTATTATAATTAGGTGTGGAGAAGAAGTTACCTGACCCTCTAGTGAAAGAGGGTATTTATAGTGTGCCTCCAACGCAGGGCTAATGGTTACATTGTATTGGGTCAGACTGCCAGGCCTAACCCAATTAACTGTCAGGGCTTACGTGGCATAGTGAAGACCAGCATGTGGTCTTCGCTCTGGATCAACTGTTTCGTGATCTTCGAAAGGTGGGCTAACCAACTCTTTCGGAGGTGGTTAGTTGCTTGATGACGTGTCCCCGCGTACAGGAGCACGTGGAGAACGTGAGGGAAGCGCGTGAGCTTCCCCGTCAAGGAAATCATCTGCCCGACATATGTACCTTGTTGAGCTTTGTGCCCGACCGAGAAGAATTGAGTCTTGCCGAACCTCATCAGCATAGTGTTGGGTTGGGCCTGCCCGATTGAGAGGCAGGTCCCGACCCAGTCTAGAACAGTTTGTTTTACAAGTTTCCAAAAGTTAGAATTCTATCTCAATCTTACATATATTAAAATAAAAATCTACACAATCCATATTAGGACTACTGTTGTACTTTTAAAATCAATACTATGACATTTATTTTGATTGTGAAAATATGGATCATTGTCATCATTGAACGTCTCTTTGTAAATGTTATTATTATTTTTTATAAATGCATACTTAAAGCAAAAAAGTAGTAACTTTTTTCAAACCCTACTATACACACAAACTAAGAGCAAATTAAAACTTTTACACAGACATCCAATTGTAGTAATATTACATAAAGAAATCAAATGATGTTTTGACTTTTCAACGCCACGAAATCATAATTACTTAGCAAAAAATGCCAAATCATAATTATCTTTCAACATCACCAAATCATAATTACTTTTCAACATCTACCGAAACATTTATTGATTTGAGTATCACAATTCACAACTAATAAGTATAAATTAATTCCATTGTGATCAAATGTTTATTTTCTTAGCAATAGAATAATAATATTATAACAAAAAGTTTGTCAATAAGAACATACAGGAAATCCTCTACAAAGACCAATAAAACATTAACGTAAATCACAACAAAACTACATTAAAAAATCAAATAATAAATATTCAAAATTGCATTATTTCATACCAAAAATTCCATTGTGTAAGGGCCAATTATTTCCTCTCTTCAAATCATTGTGTAAGAGAATTGTCTCACAACTAAAGTTTGATTGAATCACTCATTGAAAAGTGAAGAATGAAAATCTTAAATCAATAAAAAAATGATTAAATCTTATTATATCAAAATCGATTCTTTTAACAAATATTAGAATTAAATATGAATGGATACAAATTTCCTCATTAGAGAACTTACAATTTTCCAATGAAATACATAATAACATTATATTATGAAGTCCAACATAATAAACTTTGACACTACATGAAACTTTATTTTGTTAACACGGATATAAAGTGAAAAGTACATGTATTTTTTCCATGCAATTCTTTTATTGAAATAATACAAACATTATCATTCTTCAATCAAAATCTATCTAATTTTTCTTAAGTGATTCTGCAATTTTACTAGCAATACAATACGCTGTAGATTGAATGGTTATCATAGGGTTAACACCAACAGCACTAGGTAAAACACTTCCATCACACACATACAACCCTTTTGCTTCCCAGCATTCTCCATTCTCATCAACTGCACCCTCTTTTTCATTACCACCCATTCTACAACTTCCCATTTGATGTGCAGAACTAAACATTGTCCAAAACTCACCTCTCGACCGCGGACCCCCGACAACCGCGACAGAGTCCAGAAACTCCTCAAAATCTTCTTCTTTGATCCCTCTACATTTGATTCTTTGTCCATCACTCCTATGAGTTCCAACTTCTACAGCTCCTGCCGCTACCAAAATCCTTAAACACTTCCTCATTCCAATTTTAAGATTTTCCTTGTCCATTTGATCAAGTCTATAAGAAACTCTTCCTTCGCCTTTTACTTTTCCTGATCCTTTGTCTCTAACCAATGCAAAAAGGTTAGCAGTTCTTGCATACTTCGCCATTCTATCTTTCAGATCGAGTCCCGACACCCATGGAACCAATGCTGAAAATACTCCAGGTCCTATAGCAGGTGCTTCTATGATGATTTTCGGTGTGGAGTCCTCAGCAAGTACTTTGTGTATAGAAGTTATGATTCCCCCTTCATAGTTATTACCACTCAAGTTTGTCATGTCTTCAGGGAAATAGCCCCAGACAAACTGAACAGGGTGGAGATGAAGATTGCTTCCGATGTTCGGATTTCGTAGTCCGCTAGAAATCATTAGAGGAGGTGTAAGTAGTGATCCACATGATGAAATAGTTACTTTGGATTCTATTTGGAGTTTTTTTGTTATCTTACTCTTCCAACTTGCAGAAGCAATCACTCCTGAGCAATTCTTTCTCTTTGTTCCATTTTTTCCATCTTCCAGAATAAATTTCTCAGCTTTACATCCAGTGAGGATAACTGCGCCGTTTTCTACAGCATCAACCAACCAAGTAGAGTCGGTTCCCTTTTTATCTCCGGTTCTACAACCGTAACAGCACGAACCGCAATAATGATCTTCTGAAGCATTCACAGAAACTGACTCAACTTTTAAACCAATACTCTCACACCCTTTTCGAAGAACTTGATTTTGAAAGCTTTCCTGGTTGCATTTATCTGTGACACCGATCCTTCTGCATACTGAATCCATAGCAGATCGATAATCGGAGCTAGTAAAAAGTGGTAATTTATATTTTTCAGACCATTCCTTCATGACAGAATCCGGGGTCCTTACACATGCAGCCCAGTTTATAGCTGAACCTCCACCTACAGTTGAGCCAGCCAAGATCATCGTTTTACCGTCAACTGTTGGCATGATGCCACTTGATTCGTATAGCTCGCTCATCGATGAATTTTCCAAGGAAGAATAATCTTGAGAAACAAAATATTCTCCTTTTTCTAGGACGATCACTTTATGACCTGATTTTGCAAGAATTGCAGCCGCAACTCCTCCACCGCAACCAGAACCAACAATGACAACATCACATTTGATCTTGTACATGTTCTGCCCTTCATCTTCAGTGACTTCAAGGCCTTTTTCATTCAGAGATTGGATTAATGTAGAATCGGTTTCGTGCGTAGTCTCTATTAGTCCTTCTTGGAGAGGCCTTTTCTTCAGTTTCACCTTTTCCCTGGTGTCCACCTTGTACCCTATTGCCTTCCACATTGAATTATGTCCATTTTCATCCGTCTGCGGAAATTTGGGAAATTACATTCAGAAACTTCAAACATGACATTTTTGCATCTCATAGTAAAACTAGCAAACATGTTATGAGCATTTCAATTTTCAACCACAGATTAAAAAAGATGAAGAGAATGAGAAAGATTACCCTTGAGAACAAAGTATAGAAGAAAGTAAGTTTCAACAACACAAACACATCCCTCAGAGGCATCCACCAACGTTTCTCATTAGACCAATTCTTCAGAATCTGTTGTCTCTTTTCCACTGAAATCTCAGAGAATTTAAGAACAAAAGGCCACTTCCATTGCAAGCAATAAGTTCCACAGAACAACAGTGTCCCTAATCTGAATGACAGAATCCGTAGAATCCACTTCACCAAAGGCAATGCTTCTGGTATACTCCTCTTGAACAACATCAATAGCTCTGCACCCTAATTTACATATAAAAAAAACTGAATTGAATTGATAAAACTCTTGCTTTTTCAAAGAAAAATTATTGATTCTAACTAGTAAAGTTCCAATGCTCTAGTATACCGCCAAAGTGGCGAACAAAACTATGTCTGAACCGAACCAACACAGGATTCGTATCAGAGTACCTGAGATTCGAGAGAAACATATTCTCTAGACCCAAGCCTTGGCCAACATGCCAACCCGGGTTAGAAAAAAATGGACAGAAAATAGAGTGAAATTGTAACACGTGTCATTCAATTGAGAGTCATAGATAGATAAAAGAATGATAGAGTATGGTTGAAAAATAACCTCATCAGGAAATGGGAATTGAGAGCCAGAAGTTGTGTAAAAGGACGAGAGTGTTTGATTTTCATTCTTCAATAGGATAGAAGGAAACAGGGTGTCACAAATGGAAGCCAAAACATGCATCTGAGTGGTTGATAATCCATGGCTATAACTGTTTTCCTTTCTTCTACCTCCTCTCAAGAGAGGATGACAATCTTCCATTACTCTTGTTCTGAGTTCTATCTGAAATCACAGATACTTTTTATTTCACTATTCTGAGTTTTATAAACAGTTATGACAAAAATCAGTGACTTGACTCTTTATTTATATGACAGCACCTATTTAAAGTCTCTGAATGGTTCAGTTATGGGGTGTCAGTGACTTTAAATGAGTATGGCATTATTGATATGTTAAATTTTGTAGTTACTGTATCTAACAAACGGCCATTCATTTTCAATTAAGATAGTGAAATGTCTAGTCAATAATTCATGCATGTGAACTAAGTTATAGCCGCTACAATATTCCCATTCAACTCTATCACTCATATTTTCAACTTAATTAAAATCAACCGATCTAAACTTTATACCAATTTTTGATCGCAATTCTTCATAAAGAAAAGATTAATGCGAATACACAGTGTAGTTGAAATAAGATGGGTCCAAGAAAGGTAGATATGTCTATTAAATAAGGACTTGTCTTTGTTGTCGTTGCGATGTGAATCGAGAAGCCTACCACACACTAAATTAAGTAATTCTAACATCTCTATCAGGACTGAATTTCCAGGTTAAGGAAAATGACTTGTTTGATTTTTTAAAGCGCTATATTGACAAAATAAATTTTTGGAAACATTATTTATAGTAAGATATTAAAGTTGTTAAACCAAATTAAACACCGATTAATTTGTGTATTTTCTCTTGTAATTTAATTTTACAAATATTATAAAATTACTAAAATGATAGGAAGAATACACGTCCTTGTCGTTTACACCTTCAAGTACATTTCCTATTTTCACATAATTTAATGTATGCAAGTCCAAATAATTACTAGATTTGAGTTTGTACATAGGAAAGTATTTTTCCCACGTAATTGCTAGTAGGTGACTCATTCATTGATTTCCTTGGGTGGAGACAAAGACAGATCGTGATTGTTAATTGTAGCAAACTCAATTTAGAATTTTTTTGTCCTCAGATACAATTTGTGATCATGGGAGGAGCCACGCTTAAAAATGACATTCGAGCAAGTTTCAGAAACACTTTGATATATCGTCAAGTCATTTAAATTACTCCCTAGTCTAATTTAGAAAAAGGACTCTAAAATTTTCCTTTTGTTCGAAATTCACGAGTTTTACATGAATTCCATCATTTAGTTTAAAATCATTTTAAAATTATGCAAAGAACAAAGATAAAGAGATGGGATGGATCTTTAGATCCACATTAAAAAAAAAAACTAAAATATGGTTTTAAAATTATATTAAAATTAATAAGATGGTGAATAACTAAAAGAAAAGTTGAATAAAGTAGGCTAATCAGCTTAGGATGTGGGTTCTTAGTCCTTTCTTTCTATTTAGTTATAATTTAGCTCTAGTATGTCCAATTTAAATAGAAATGTGCGTAATTATAAATATGGAAATAATATTGAATAGTTTTATTTCGTTAAATTCAAATTCAAATTATTAGAGGCTTAATTTAATACATTTTATTAGAGATTTAATTTTAAAATTAAAAGATGTATTGTTCAAGACATTTCAACAAAGAGAAATTTATTTTATTCAATACTTTTACAAGAAACAGATAAAAAAACGTGAAGATTTATCATTTTAGCGGTAGTTTTAAAGGTGTGAAAAGAGTGAAATTCTCATAATTTAAGGATCGAGGACCTTTTTAAGAATTAAAGACTAAGTAAGAGAAATGGATGATATTTCATTGATGATTCTTACTAGAAAATACATATGGTTATATAACTACCTAAGCAATAACAAATCTAACAGACTTCACAATGTATGTGGTCACATGGAAATTAAGTAACTAACTTCTAAGGTGGATCATCTAGAAGTTTATTTGAAAATGACAAAGTCGTTCAACTTTGTTGGAGGCTTGCGAATCCTTTTTGGCTAAGCTACAAATTTGGACCTGGGTCATTGATAATAGCCTGAGATGTATCAACATCAACTGAAGGGGTGTGTGTAACATTGCATTTTCCATCAAAACCAACCTTATCCTCAAAGTAATAAATCGAAGAAATCTTGTTCCAATCCTCCCAAGTCGTGTCATCTGGTGAAAGTCCCTTCCACTGAACAAGGACGCGGATGAAAGTCTGAACAAATTCAATTACCACCTTAGAATCTAGAATAACAAGTGGCTCGATTATGGGATGATTCCCAAAGGACTGTTCAGGTAAGGGGTCTACTTCACCGGAGACTGGTCTATGGTGTAGCTTTAGTACTGAGCAATGGAACACATCATAAATATTTAAATATGAAAAGAGTTCTAGTTTGTAATCAACTAGTCCCACTTTAGCCATAATTTTGATGTAACTACAAAATCTTTTAGTAAGCTTGTTGTACTTGTCACCAACAAGAGACATTTGTTTATAAAGACACTTGTATATAAGGCTGTAGATTCACATATACCCATGAACCCACTTCATAGGACATTTCCCCGCACTTAGCATCTACATATGCCTTCATATGCACATGTGCCTTAGAAAGATTCTTAAGCAATAATGCAAAGATATCCTGTCTCGATGCTAACATATTATCACAAGGTAAGAAGGAATGAAAAGTGAAGGCTTCCCTAACACAACTTCATAAGGGGTGAGACCAGAAGATATGTGGTATGATGTATTATAATGGTACTCTGCCCAAGGTAAGTACCTAAACTAGTGTGAAGGTTTGGCATGAACAAAAGCCTTAAGGTATTGCTCAATAGTGCGATTGGTAACTTCAGTTTGACTGCCTGTCCATGTGTGATATGCTGAGCACATCCTAAGCAAGGTGCCACTAAACTTGAAGAGGTATTACCAAAAATGGCTAACGAATACGAGATATCTATCAAAGACTATGCTCTTCGGGAATCTGCGTAGTTTACATGCCACCTGCATGAACATTTCAGCCACTTTATACATTGTGTAATTGTTGAAGCGGTAAAGCAGCGAGCAAAAATATTAAGTATCCAGTTTTTGTCGTCTCCACAGGGATCAGTGCGATACGAACGCTGTTCAACTGTCTCTATATTTCTAAGCTTGTTGTTCAAAAGGTTTTGTTTAAAAGGTTCGAGGAACCATGAATAAAAGAAGAAATTATATAGACGGAAAATATAAATTAAAGACTGAAATATAAACGGAGCCTTGTTGGGATTGGATCTCATCAATTGATAACATATGCATTCTTTTGATCAAGTTAAACACAGCGCAACCATTCGTCTAATATCCTCATGTATCACCCACGACAGAGGTCATCTCTAACGCAACATCGAGAGAACAACTGTGTTGTCTCATTGGTGATGTTTCACGCAACAAAAACACAAAAAGCATTAAGAACTGATACTCACGCAAATGCTAAGCCTAAATCTATGTCTAGATTTTAGGACCTAACAGGTAATCATCCTAGATCCAGATCTGAAAAGTACATGTCTATAGCGGTTCAAATCAAAGATAAACAGGTAAACAAAGATGACACACATATCGGAAAAATGATTATTTTATATAAAACACAATGATCAGAATACGTACATACGCTTAACCCTTTTTACATGTATTTATCTAATTTGTCAAATGTATGTGAACATCGTTCTTCATCACTATTATCACGCACCCGCATAATATCTTATTGATCCTACTCATGCTACCCATGCTACTTAATCAACACAATACAATAGAAGATACAATGAATATCAACTTACAAAACCATGTCAAAAGTTTGTTCATTGATAGATGAAAATCTTATATCAAAGATGTGAAAAGGTTTGTTAAGACCAACAAATAAGAAATCAAAGATAATCAATCAATAGAGAATCCAAACTAGTTCACTAACATATATTAGATGAAATACATAAGGTATCAAAATATTACATCCAAACCCTAACAAGAGATCAAAGATCATACCTCCTCCCTCTTAGGGTTTTGTATTTCTCTCTCTAAAATAAACTTGAAATGAAGAGAGATAAGTTCTGATGTCGAAAATATTACATAATAACCTAAAAAGCAAGAAAAGTACTTATATAGTACATTCAGGATCTGTCGTGTTCGCACTGCGAACAGATCCTTCGCCTAGCGAACAACAAATTAGGCACCTGAAGTGCCTCTAAACAGTTAAACCACCTTTGAGACTTTTCCACATGTTCGTTGTGCGATCAATCCTTCGCACTGCAAAAACTTCGCTACATACTTTGCACAACGAATTCTTGTCCAAAAAGTTATTGCCTCAAGTCTGGGAGTGTTCTCTAGAGCTTCGCTACCTCTTCGCCTAGCGAGTTCTTCGCTGCCTCCTTCACCTAGCGAGTTTTATGATGTTTTTCTGATGACTTGGTTTCTTTGCCCAAATTCTTATGTCTTACTATTCACTTGTTTTATGCCTAATTCCTGCACAATAACACACAAATCAAAGCAACCAAGGTATTTTCCAACAATGAAGAAAATCATCTAAAACATGAGTGATTCTAATCCTTTTCACCACAAAAAGAATGAAAGATGCCAACATTTGATAGATCAAATAAGCAAAGTTTGGCATCTAACAACTCTCCCCAACTAGATTTTTGCTTGTCCTCAAGCAAAGTATTCCTCTCATTTCAAAGAAGAGGATTTGCTCAAGATTAAAATTTACCCAAGAATGGATAAAGTGGCTCAAACACAAAGAATGCAAACAAGCAATGGTTTCAAATGTTGAGAATCAAACAATGCACAAGAACTAAATTCTTAAAGCAAATATAAAGCCGTGCATCAGTCAACAACTATGTTTTTCATGAGTGAATCACTCTATCTCTTCTCTTCGAATAAGGAATGAAGAAATTACGCATTTGCAACCGCGGAGAAAATTTCACTCACCTAAAAAACAGTGCCAATATCAATCCAATTCATACAATATCTAACAATCAAAAGCAAAAATATGGAGCAAGAAGATCACTAAGGTCTTTAAGATTGTAGCTTGGTCGGGTTTATAAACAAGTGACATTTTTAAGGCCATTGAAACGAAAATGCCGATGCAAAAGAGACATTCACTGTACACA